GGCACTGTGAACGCCCTGGCCGCGGTCACCAGGCCCACCGACGACGCCTCGGACGGCCCCGCCAACGGCGGCGCGACCCGGGCCCCTGTCCGGAAGAACCTCAAGAAGACGCCGGTGCCCCCTGGGGCCCCTCAGGGCGGTGGGGATTGAGGGCTGCCACCGAGGGTGGGCCAGGAGCAGTGCTGGAGGCCCCACTGGCCTGAGGGGCGAACCGACAGATCTGCCCCCTCCTGGACCTGGCTCCGAGAGGAAGGGCCCTCCGACGCTGCCCGCTGGCCCTCCGGTATTGGGGTGCGGCGGCTGGGATGGCACAGTGCAGCCAGCGATAACTTCTGGATGCTGAGTCTGGGCTAGAAGAGGTATAGAGCCCCTTTTGGCCTTAGAGCTGGGGACGATTTGGTCCTGGGGTATGTCAGCCTTCCGGGAGAGCCAAGGGCTTGCAGCAGGTGGGACTCCTTGGCTAGGAGGAGGGGGTTGAAGGGTGTTGTTTTTGTTTTGTTTTGTTTTTAAGGGTCTTGGGGAAGAGGCCGGGCCTTTATGCACTGGGATAAACACTGTGACTCACACACCAGCCAGCAAACACCAGGGACACATGGGCTGCTTGGACACTGTCATCTGGACGCAGTACCGCTCAGATCAGTCACCCAGATATACAAGCACATTCCACAGGACACAACTGCACAGCAGCCTGACTCTAGCCAGCTTCAGTCTGACTACTGACCACCAGACCCAGCCTCCCATAGGACAGCGTGGCCTGTGTGCATCCCCTCTGGTCAGCAGCCACACCTGCACTATTAGCTTCACCTTGGACAGTGACAGCCCTTCACTTAGCCTCACCACAGGGAGTCACCTGGGTGCCAGTGTCTCTTCAGAAAGTGTCATGGATACCCAGACTCCACAGCCTAACCTCCCAGAGTGTCACCAGGCTGCTGTTTGACCAGCTCTCCCCGTCACCAAGACCCACCCACCCAGGGCAGCCTGCAGTGGAACTGAAACCACCTCCTGGCCTCCAGGAAACATTACATGGAATCTTCATGTTAACCACTCACAGTGACCTGAGTTCGGTGCCAGCTCATTTTAGAAATAAAATGTGTAATCTTAGGCTTTAGCAGGTGGTGGTGTTTTGTTTTATTGTATTTATTTAATCCTCACCCGAGGATATGTTTTTATTGATTTTTAGAGACAAACATTGATCTGTTGCCTTCCATATGCTCCCAAATAGGAGATTGAGCCAGCAACCTAGGTATGTGCCCTGACAGGGCATGAAGCCCACAACCTTTTGGAACAGGACCACGCTCCAACCAGCGAGCCACCTGGCCAGGGCAGGTGGTAATTTTAGAATCCGCTAGTTTTTCCATTTGACCAGGGATTCAGACATAATGTGTAGGTTGGGAGTGGGGGTGACCTCTCCCTTTGAGATCTGGATGGAGCTCTGAGACTGGCTCTGGTAGAGTAGTGGAGGGTGGCTCAGGGGTTTCCCCCTTGTATGAATAGGCACATAAAGGCCCCAACTTGGCCAGAGCCTCCCACCCCCAACATGGGTCACACAAAGGACTGACTATGCCTCTTCCAGAACACAAATTTATTTGGCATTTGGATGAAATGGTTCTCACAGCATCTTAAGGATTAGTGTCAACCCAATCAAAAATAAACCCAAACTAAAAACCCTTAGTAAAAGGAAAACACAAAAAACAGGCGTTGAGACAATGTACAGATTTGACTCCCACCTCCTCCAGGCAGGTCAGGTCCCGGGGGAGGAGGCCTCCCAAGACCTTGGCCTGTCCCTCTGAAGGCCCCATGTGTATGGGATGGGGAGCCCTCCTCTCACAGGAACACAAGTGTCTCAGCCAGGGTTGGACCATGGAGCACACTCAGATCTTACAAAGGGTGGTGACTAGTCAGGAGACCAAGGTCAGGGGGCCGACCGTAACTTTCTCCTCAATGCCCTCAAAACAGCCTTCAAGCAGAGCTTAGCTCCTGGAGACACTGCGCAGCAGCCAGCCTACTGCCCAGCCCAAGGATGCCAGTGGGATGAACACACTTGGACAGACCCCCGGACAGCCAGAAGCAGGCCCATCCTCTGCAGGCCCCATGCTCTGATTCAGGCCACCCTCTCCTTAGTACCTCCTGCGTGCCTGTTCCCAGCAGTCTTTTGGTTGGCAAAAGAAGTCCCCCAGCCCCACACATCTAATGCCAGCCACTGCCCTGTACACACAATTTGAGGCCTGAGCCAGAAACACTGGGATAGGGAGACCCTGTGTTGTCGGGGCCAGAACCTACAGGGCTCCACGGGGGTGGTCATTTCAAAGCAGGCCTGCTCAGGACCCTACCCCAACACCAACAAGGCCTGTGACTGTTGCTGTGGAACTTGGCTGCCCTGTGCTCAGCATGCACTGGAGGCACCACACGCTTCCTGCTTTGTTTTTAGCAGCCAGCACGGGGCACATGTGCCCAGGATGCCATTCTCAAAGTAGCAATCTTTTGGCAAGGGGAGCACACACTCTGCCTCTGCAGGCCAAACCCAAGGACAGGCTGTGCAGTGACAAAACACACACCTCTGGCAGTCTTGTGGGGCAACTCAACAACTTCAGTTTCCAACTGCAGTGTGAAAATATGCCTAGAATTGGACTGTGCCTCCGAAGTCTGTCACCAGAACACCATGGAAGCACCCACTTCAAGTCAGCTCTCCCCCTGCTGCATGCTGGTATAGAAACATTGAAAGGGGGACCAGGAGCCAGGCTCTGCATTCTCAGAAGAGGCACAGACCCAGCCATGCTTCAGTGCCACCCAAAAGGCCATATTGGCCCAGGAAATTGAAGACTGAGTTCCCATGTACCAACACCACCACCTGCAAACACATGGCCATATACGTACATACGTACGTACGTACATACGTACACACACACACACACACACACACAGACACAGGCACACAAAAAAGATCTAGACATTGAACGTAGAAAAGATATGGATGTGCTAAAAAATCGCACAGAACCCGCTTAATCTCCAAACCTCAGAAATGCTAAAAGCCTGGTGTCAGGAGACAAGACCACTGCCCAGGAGTAGGCAACAGGGTCCCTCAGTCAAAAGGCCCCTGGGCAGGGTACCCAGCACCCTGTGCTGCTAAGGAGGACAGGAAGGTGGCATGCAGCCACCAGGCACTCGGCTCTAGTGGTGGTGATGTGCAAGAAGTGGACTTTCAGGAGGTGGACAAAGCCCAGGATGTTAATTTCAGCCCCCCCACCCCAAAGAAACAACCCTTTATGGCACAATAAAAGGGGGTGAGGGCAGGCCAGGCCCAGGTGCAAATTCAACAGGAGGGGGGACTCCAGAGGGTAATAGAGAGGAGCCGGCTTAGCCCCCAAGCCCCAGAGGATGACCCAGGGCCGGGACACTCATGCATGGCTAAGGGCCTCAACCCAGCTCCAGAGCTGCCTCCTGGGGGGGCCATGCACAGCAATGTTAGGAAGAAATCCAACGGACTAGGGATAGGGCTTTCTGGCAAAGAACTGGACTTCGCAAAGCCCAGCTGGAAAGTGTGGAGAGTTCAACCTTCAAGGTCCCCTTCTCAGGGCCTTGGGTACCAGAGCTCCAGATCAGCCTCCAGCCTGGACAGGATCACCCTCAATGTTCAAGCTGGACCTGTGGGGGGGCCATCCCCAGAGTAGCCATTGTAGCAACCTTCTAGGCCATCTGCCCTGAAGCAGACCCATTGCCCAGAGAATCCTGACAGTCCACAAACACTGGTGCCCAGAAGTGCCTTCCTGAGCAGTTGCCAGTGAGGTGCACCTGGCAGCTCTGGGGCTTGGGGGTGGGGTGGCAGGCTCCTCTGGATATGTTGCCATGAGCAAGCCACCAAAGCCTGGTGTGGTTTGGCCTTCACCCAGGCCCACAGTGGCTTCTTTGTTCCCTATTTCTGAAACGTGTGGTATAAACAAACTTTGTCATTCTTCTGTCATTTAAAAACAAAAAGACAGTGACCCAAAGCTATACATGTTTTTGAAGCCCTCAAGGAGACTCGGTCCAGGTGCTCGCTCCCTTGGGAGGCTCGTGCAGTCTAAACGCACATGCACACCTTCAGAATTGTGCAGCAGTGCAGCTGAGTCCAGGCTCACATAGGGGCCGGCCCTTCAAGTCTCCACGGGAATCAGAGTTTCCTTGACAGCAAACAGGTGCTCCATGCCCCTTGGGGCCCTGGGCTGGGCATCCTCTACACCACGGTATTGAGGGAACTGCGGCTGTGGCAACCGCCCCCTGGGAGTGCCTCTGTGGCTGAGGGGGTTCCGCTGCGGGCAGGGTCGGGGGGCACAAGAAGGGTGCTGCTGCTGTTCGCTGAGTCTTCCAGGTCTGCCAGGGAGACTCCTGCGGCAGGCAGAGGCTGCTCCAGGCACCGGGGCAATGCACCTTCACTGTCACCATCCCCTGGGGTCGGCGGGCTGGCCTCTGCTGGCTCAAAAGCATCGTCGTCTATAGAAGGAGAAAGAGGGCTGTCAGGGGGGGTAGTAGGCCTGGCACAAGGGTAGGGAGACAGAACAGGGGGATGTTTCTCTTGCCTGAATACTCCCACCAAAGCTGGGGCTCTGCTGTGCTCACCCCTCACCCTCACCATGGTTGCAGCTGTGGTGGTGAAGGGGGACAGTAATGAGCAAGCTCCAGCGTAGGATTGGGGTACACACTTTGACAGAGTCAGAACAAAGGTAGGGGATGAGGACACCCTCAGACTCAGTGGGGGCTGAATCAGGGCCCACCCGACATTAGGGCATTACTGGGATGCAGGTGGAGAGGCGGAACAGTGTTCACAACCCCAGATCAGGAGCTCCAGCTGGAACTTTTGGGACAAGAGCATGAAAGTGAGAGACAGGGCCAGAGCAGGCAGCCCAGCAAACTGCACAGGGCACTGCAGAAGGCTCGGGTCTGAGAGCTGCTCTGTGGCAGCGCACTCCTTTGTGACTGCTCCCTATCACTACAGGCTTTCAGCTCAGGGCCCAGGGCCTAGTATGTGCCCCTCTCCTGGCTGACTCCCCACTGCCCCAGCAGTTCCGCTGCCCTGCCCAGGGATCATTTGCTCCGCTGCAGCCTGGTCCATGAAGGTGCATCCCTAGTAGGAAGCTTGTTCTACCCTGGTCCCCTTGGCAGCAGGTGGCAACAATCTGTCCCTAGGGCCGGGGTCAAATCCAAATTTCTGCTCACACAGACCAGGAGCAGTACTAGCTGACCAAATGGATGAATGGGACAAAGGACACAGCAGTGCCGGCCTCATGACGCTACCCTGCTGGGCTGTGTATGCAAAGAGTCAACGGGGGTGGGGGCACAGGCACTGCCTGCAATGTACAGCAGGGGTATGCATGTGTGTTACAGGGGGGAAAGGATGGGAAATCTGCACTACACACCAGGGACAGGGATGAGCCAGGCAATGGGCAAGGCACCTGCAATTCCTTCTTTGCTACACAGCCCTGGGAGGAACATACTCAGGTAACTGGTCTAACATCACAGAGGCAATGTTTTCTTCCCGTGTCACAAAGCTGCCTCAGGACATGAGGGAATGTCACAGTGGTGTCTCTTCAGCTCACCACACGTGCATGTCTTTACATCCCAGCAGTTGGCTCTGGGCCAGTCCTGTCCCCATGACTGCCAATACCCGATTCCCATCTGTTTGCTAATAGGTGTTCCCAGGAGGGAGGCAAGGAGCAGCACCCTGGGAAGAGTCTGTCCACCAACAGGTGGCAGTTCCACCTCAAAGGGAAAACCAGAGATAGTAATAGGAGGCTAGGAAGTGGAATTCACAGCCCAGTGCACTGGGGAGGACCCCTGGGCCTCTGGCCCTGCAGGCCAGGTGGTTGGTCACAGGTTGCTCCCTCTCCCTGTGGGGGAAGCACCTGCAGGGTCGTAGAACACACTGTCGGGGTTGATGGAGGCCTCATAGGGTGGTGGTGGGTCATCAGGCTGGTCAATGTCTGGGTACTTGTATGCAGTGTAGGGGGGCGGAGGGTCATGGAAGTGGAAAGTCCCGCCTTCTCCATCATCAGAAAGGTGTAGTGGCGTGAGGCCTGTGCCGAACCCATCTGGACCATAATCAAAGCCGGGGATCCTCCGGCCAAGGTTGAAGTGATGCACTAGACAATGGAAGTGAGAAACAGGCAACAACAGGGTCATGTCACTGGAAGATGCACTGCTCAGCTCCTGAGCCCCGCCTCCCCCAGGCCGGGGGTGCCAGACATTCCAACTGTCACACTTCTGAAACTCATCCAGCACCACCACAGTCACCCACGTGTGCTCCAGCCCTTGCCACACCCCTCCAGCTCTAACATGTTTTTGGGTGTCTAGCCCACAATGGCCTTGTAGTTCCACCCACCCTGTATCTCAGTGAGAACTGAGGAAGGTCTTGTTGGCCCATACTGATGGGGGGACTTCACACCTGACCTGGGCTCTCTGGGGGGCACCAAAGGCCCCTAACTGAAGCTGGTGAGGTCCCTTAGCATTCTTGCTACCTTGACTCTGAATCATCTTCTGCCTGCCTGCACCTGTCCTACCCCACCCCACACAAGACTGGGGAGCCCTGGTTTGTTCACTGAGACAAGGAGTGATTTCAGCTCTATTGGGGGCATAGGCCACTGGAGGCAAATTGGACTGAGGAGGGTGAGCTGTACTTCCTAAGTTGCCTTATGACCACGGGCATTTGATGCTCCTCCTATCAGGAGGCCCACACTCATGGCCTGGGCCATTCTGCTTCAAAAGGCAAAGGGAACCCAGGGTCAGCTGGCACTGGAGGTATACCCTTTCTCCACGGGCCCATGATCTCTGATTTTGGGTACTGCGAAGAGGTCTAGTGTCACAGGTGTGCACAAAGCCCAGAAGCAGGTAGGTGGGTGGGATAGGGACATCTTTCAGTACCCTCCATCATGTCCTCCATTTCCTTCCTGCCCCTTCTTGCTTCCTGTATCCCCATTCCCTCTGGGGACACAGCCAGGGGTAGGCCTGCACTGTAGCTGTCATAGGCAGGGGCTGGGGCACTCACGGTTTGCTCCAATCAGGGACTCAATGCGCTCCCGGCGCCTCTGGCGTAGCCGGTGGACCATGAAAAGCAGCAGGGACAGGATGAGAAAGGAGGAGATGCAGCTAACAATGAGACGCATCCCACTGGCCATGGAGTCGAACAGGCTATTCCCGTCTGTTAGAGGAGAAGGGAAGAAACCCGCTGCTCTTAGAAAAGGAGGTCTGGACCCCAGGTGCTCAGTGCTATGAGAAGGCCATGGCCCTCCACCACACAACTATGTGGACGAGGCAACTTAGTTCCCGATACAATCTTACGATGGCAGAAAGCAAGCTGAAAAATAAAGAATACTGTAATACCACCACAGAAGAGCAGTTGATGGGTCAGGAAAAAAACTTTATTGATTTCAGAGACAGGAAGGGGGAGAGAGATAGAAACATCAATGATGAGAGTCACTGATCAGCAGGCTACTGGGGATAGAGCCCACAATCTGGGCATGTACCCTCATCAGGAATGAAACCACGAGCTCCTGCTTCATAGGTTGAAGCTCAACCACTGAGCCACGCTGGCCAGGCTTCTTCTTAAAGAAAAGACCCTTTAACATTTCTTGTAATACTCATTTGGTAGTGGTGAACTCCTTTAGCTTTTTCTTTTCTGGGAAGTTTCTTATCCTTTGATTCTAAATGATAGCTTTGCTGGGTAACCTTGGCTGTAGGTCCTTGCTTTTCATCACTTTGAATATTTCTTGCCAGTCCCTTCTGGCCTACAAAGTTTCTGTTGAGAAATCAGCTGACAGTCTTATAGGAGCTCCCTTGTAGGTAGTAACTAAATGCTTTCCTCTTGCTGCTTTTAAGGTTCTCTTTGTCTTTAAACTTTGGCATTTTAATTATGATGTGTCTTGGTGTGGGCCTCTTTGGGTTCCTCCTTTGGGACTTTCTGTGTTTCCTGGACTTTTGTGTCTTTTTCACTCATCAGGTTAGGAAAGTTTTCCACCATTTTTTCAAATAGGCATTTAATTCCTTGTTCCCTCCGTCTCTTTCTCTCTCTCTCCTCCCTCCTCCTGGCACCCCCATGTTGCAAATATTGGTATGCTTGAAGTTGTCCCAGAGGTTCCTTAAACTATCCTCATTTTTTGGATCGTTTTCTTTCTGCTTTTCTGATTGGGCATTTTCTGCTTCCAAATCACTGATTTGACCCTCTGCTTCATCTACTCTACTTTTGGTTCCCGGTAATGTATGCTTCATTTCAGTTTTTGTACTCTGTTTTTCCGACTGGTTCTTTTTTGTGTTCTATCTCCATTTTTATGCTTCCTATCTCTATGTGAGAGTTCTCACTAAGTTCATCTACTCTTCCTCTAAGTTTGTTGAACATCTTTATAATCAGTGTTTTGAGCTCTGCATCTGGTAGGTTACCTGTCTCCATTTTGTTCTGTTCTTTTTCTGGAGTTTTGTTCTGTTCTTTCATTTGGGATGTTTCTTTGTCTCCTCATTTTGGCTGCCTCTCTGTGTTTGTATGTATTAGGTAGAGATGCTAGGTCTCCCCGTCTTGGTCAAGCAGCCTCATATAGTAGATGTGCTGCAGGGCACAGTGGTGCAGCCTCCCTGCCCCCCAAGTGGGGTACTCCAGGTGCGCCCCTAGCCCCATGTGGGCTGTGTGCACTTTCCTGCTGTAGTTGAGCCTTGACTGCTGTTGACACGTCAATGGGAGGGATTTATCCCCGGGCTGATCGGCTGTGAGGACTGGCCAAAACCACAGTAGAGGAATTGCTGTGCAGGGGCCCACCCCATGGAGCAGGACTCAAATGTGCAGTTCGTGGAGGTGGTTGGGTGGTGCTCTGGCTGAGGCTACCCCTATTGGATGTGCTGGCTATGGGGCTTCCAGGAAGTTGCAGGCCAAGGTCAGCCTGTGCCCTGCCCAGAGCCACCCAGCATGAACTACAAAATGATCTGCAAATGGTTACTACTTATGATGGGCCTAGAGGTGCCTGTGAGGGGCCAAGGTGGGAACCGAGGCCAGCTGCTGCTAGTGCTGGACTTGGGGCTGCTTAGCAAGATGTTTGAGGCATGCTGAAGCCAGATGCTGCTTGCTTGGAGTTTGTGGACCTTTGAGATTTTAGGAAAATCCACAGCATGAGCCAAAACAGGCCGTTTGTATGGAAAAGCTACTGGAAATGGCTTAGGTGGGCCCACAAGTTGGGTAGGGAATGGATCTCGGGGCATCACTAGGGTGGAGTGAACAGTGTTAGGTTGATGGAGGCTCAGACATGGCACTGGTCTGCTGGCTCTGTTGGGAGGGGGTTAGGGCAGGGCATAGCACTTCTGCCTGGTAGAAAGCTGCTCCTCCAGCCCCCACACCAAAGCCAGTCAACTCAGTTTGTTCCTAGTGCCTTTTGAGCCACTGCCCCAGTGCTGGAGCTCAGAGCAAGTAAGTCCAAGTAAGTCTGTGTGAGTCCTTTAGAGGAATGCCTGGGATTCGAGAAGCCCGCCATCTCACTCAGCCATAATCCCCAGCTAGAAGGTTTGGAGACTTCTCTTCCTGGCAAAGGAACCCTGGGTTGGGGAGCCCGGTGTGGGTCTGGGACCCCTCATTTCTTGAGGGGACCTCTGAAGCTGAGATATCCCAATTTTTAACCATCACACGTGGGTGTGGGAACAGTCCATTTAGCACCTCTGCTCCTCCTACCAGTCTTGAAGTGGCTTCTTTATATCCTTAGTTATAAGCCTTCTCTCTAATGGTTGTTCTATAGTTTAGTTGTAATTTTGATGTTCTGGGAGGATGGAAGTACTGCATTTACTTACTCTGCAGTCTTCACTGGAAGCCCCTGAATGGTAGTTTGTTTTCTTATTGAGTTTTTAGAGTTCTTTATGTACTCTGAACACAAGACTCTTTGTCTGATTTGTGTTTTCCAAATACTTTTTCTTAGACGGTGGCTTATCTTTTCATGTCCTTAAGTTTCTGTCTCTAAAAAAGCAGAAATTTTTAATTTTAATGAAGTCTAATTTATCAGTTTTTCTTTTGTGAGTCATGCTTTTGATGTCCTATCTAAAAGTGTTGCCTGTGTACCTTTGTCAGATAGTTGACCATGTAAGTGAAGAAATATTTCTAGACTCTTTATTGTCCCACCGATCTATATGCCATTCTTTTGTGAATACCACAGTTTTGATTACTACAACTGCAAATCAGGTACCATAAAGCCAACTTTGTTCTTTTTAAAAACTGTTTTGGTATTCTAATTCCTTTGTCTTTCCACATGAATTTCAGAATCAGCTTTTCTTTTTTTTCCCCCTTTTTTAATATATCTTTATTGATTTCAGAGAGAGGAAGGGAGAGGGAGAGATAGAGATAGAAACATCAATGATGAGTCATTGATCAGCTGCAGCCCGAAACCCAGGAATGTGCTCTGACCATGAATTGAGCCCCGATCGATCTCCTAGATCCTAGGTCGATGCTCAACCGCTGAGCCATGCCTGGCTGGGCCAGAATCAGCTTTTCAATGTCTACAAAAAGTATGCTGGAATTTTGGTTACTAAATCTATAGATGATTTAGGGAGAATTCACCTCCTATCGATATTGACCATGGATATCTCTCCTTTTACTTATACCTTTGATTTTGTTCATCAGTGTATTATCATTTGTATTATACAGATAGTGCACATATTTTGTAAGATTTAGACCAAAGTATTTCAAAATTTGGTGCTATTTTAAATAGTACTCTTCTTAAAATTTCAATTTCCCACTGTTCATAGGTACTACAGGGTGGGGCAAAATTAGGTTTACAGTTGTTTGTATGGAAAATAATATATTAATAAATAATAATACAAGAATAAACCCTGTGGCCTGGCCGGACATGGCTCAGCCGTTGAACATTAACCTAGGATCCAGGAGATTGAGTTTCAGTTCCCGGTCAGGGCACATGCCCAGGTCGTGGGCTCGATCTCCAGTCGGGGGGGTGCAGGAGGCAACTGATCAATGACAACTCTCTCATCATTGATGTTTCTCTCTCTCTCCCGCTCCCTTCCCCTCTCTGAAATCAATAAAGATATATTAAAATAAATAAATAAACCCTGTGTTTGTGTACTCACGACTGTAAACCTACTTTTCCCCACCTGTACATATCAATACAATTAATTTTTTTAGTATCTTTTTAAATTGATTTCAGAGAGAGGAAGGGAGAGAGAAACATCAATGATGAGAAAGTCACTGATCAGCTGCCACCTGCATGCCTGCCCCCCTCCACTGGGGATTGAGCTCACAAACCAGGCATGTGCCCTGAGCGGGAATCGAACCATGATCTCCTGTATCATAGGTCGATGCTCAATCACTGAGCCATGCCAGCCAGGCTACAATGGATTTTTTATATTGACCCATCTGGACACCCTGCTAAACACACTTATTAGTTTCATGTAGATCCTCTGGAGTTTTCCATGCAGACAATCATGTTGTCTACAAAGAGAGATGACTTCACTTATTCCTTTCTGGTCTGGATGCCTTTTCATTTTCTGGTACTGCCCTTGATACCTTGTATAACAGTGAACAGAGTTGTGATAGCAGACACTCTTGCCTTGTTAAAAGGGACACTTTCCAAGTGTCTCCAGTTTTGGTGGCAGTATCTCTATCCCTGAGGCAGTGTGGGCACTTCCCAAGAGAAGGCATTGGACCTGGGAGGCTATAGTGAGCCTGCAGAAGCAAGGCTGAAGCAGGGAAAGGGACAGGGAAAGGCTCTGGCTAAGCTGCTCTGGCTACACAGGAGAGTGGCCTGCAGCAGTTCTGTGACCACCCAGTTGTCCTGAAGGCCCTGATCTCCTGAGAAGTCCGCAGAGCTGGGTGGGCTCCATAGGCCACACATGCCTGAAACTGGTTATCCTTGTATACACCTGGTCATTCATGGCCTCTGCACTATCTGCAGCAAACTGTGCACCTTATTGATTATGGGACACGTGCCAGAACATTCCCTTCTGCTGAACCTTAGGTAGCCTCTGACACTGCTCTGTCCTCTTGCTAGCAGCCTTCCTGGTGTACAAAACAATGACAACTCTCCACTCTGGAACAGTTCTTCTTGTTGTGGCCCTCATGTGCCAGTTCCAGTTCCCACTAGCACTAGGCAAACCAGCCTCTCTTCCGTGGGGGCCCCAGGGAATGGAGACAGCCACCATGTTCCACCCAAGCTGCTTTTCTGCAGGGTCTATGAGTCTGGGGCCTTTCACAAATCTCTGCCCATGTCACTCTCATACTGTGGCAGCCAAGAAAGAAAAGAAATTCATGCTTTTGATTTACATTTCTCCTGAGATCATGAATTCACACAGAGATGCCAACTGTACTAGTGTGGAGAACCATGAAGTTTGATGCATTCTAATGGTCCTATAGAGCAGGAGCCCCACCTGCTGGTGTTTTTTGAAAGTAGAAGGAATGCTACCCAGAAACTACATAGTGCCCACATGCAAAGCGCCATCTAGTGGGATGTTTTATAAAACTGAGGGTAATATTTAATCTTTTTCTTAAAGATTCTACAAATTAATGACTGTAACTAATGAAAACTGGTATTACCCACCACATCAACATACTCAGAAAACAGGAAGTGCTCAAAAGGAGACGTAAGTTGGAAGTCTTGCCCTTAGTCTTAAAGGAGAGGAGGACAGGTCTAAAGCCATAAGTTAAGTTGATCTGTGAATATACAGCCATACTCAAGTTCATCAGTAAATGATACCTGTTACCCAAGAGCTGAAATAAGCCAACCTGAGAGGTAGCAGTTAAGGAGGCAAGGTTGTGAGAGACACATGCTCATTAGAGTATTTGCCCATCAAAGCCTGTGAGACAGTTCTGTGGGCAAATGCTGCCATCACTGCTATGTCATGCTACGCCACATGACATAGCAGAGATGTCTCACAAGTCCCTGCCACCGAGGAAACAATGGGCCATGTAGTCTCTGATCCCGAATGGGGAGGCTTACTTGAGACCCACCATCTGTCTCACCTGGGTCCAGACACATGAACTTGCAGCACTCTTTGGGGTCCTTTCGGTACTGCTGGCAGCCCTGGGGCCGTTCGCAGAGGGCAGCCACGCACATCTCCGGCTCTCCGCCATGGCAGGTGCAGCTCAGGCATGGGTCATCTCCTTTGGGGGTGAAGTAGAACCCTTCATCCACCACGTTGTCCTTGATGTCAACACATGTTTGACCTGCAATAGGCGCACATAAACACAAACTGTTACCAGCAGAACCAGCCCTGACTCTCCACAAACATAATGACAGAGGAACTGAAAAGATCAACCTGAGAGTCCTCCTGCTAGTGGCTGTTCAAGAGAGGTCACTACAGCACTGTTAGGACAAAACACACCTGGCTAGGGCACACCTAGCCACGAGCCTGGACAGCTGGGACAGAGAATGTCAGATTCCAGGGGAAAGTCCATGGAAGTGTCTGCTTTTAAGGTGCCTAAGCAGTTTACTTTTGAGAGTTCCTCAATTCTAAGATGCACCTGTTGCATGTATTAACCATTTTAAAATCAGAATGTATTTGGAATAAGTCTCCCAAGAAGCTGCTGGTACTGCTTAGGTCCATTCAGTCCTTTACTGAGACACGCACAGTAAACTCTGTGCAGAGATGACCTGGGATTAGAAGAGGAATGATCGTGGCTAGAACCAGAAGTGAGCTGAGAACTCAGAGCCTTAAGCTGGCAGACATTACAGATGCCTGGGAAAGAGACTAGAGATAAGGGAGAAGTGGTCTCCAAAGGGAAGCATGCTCACTGAAAGATAAAGGGCCATGAAAAGGAAGTCAGCTCCTGTCTCTAAATAGGCTAGGAATGTCTACAACTCTTCAGAAATTCAACAACCACTGGGCTGTGCCTCACTTAGGATTGGAGTCAAATTTATATGACTCATGTGAGTCAGGAACTTCCAGGGCAAGAAATTCACAAAAAATTATTCTTTGCTAGAACAGAGAAGAAAAGAAAGAGGAGAAATGAGAGTACTGAGAGCAAAATGGGACACATTAAATGTACCAACATACACGAAATAGGAGGACCAACAGGAGAAGCGAGGGGAAGAAGCAGTTAAAAATATCTGGAGACAATGGCTAAAGACTTCTCAAATTCATCTAAAACTTACATCTGGGAAGTGTAACAAACTCCAACAGGATCACTGCAAAGAGCTAACAGAGCAGACACACACCACAGTAAAAATAATGAAAGACACCCAGCCAGGCGTGACTCAGCGGTTGAGCATTGACCTTGGATCCAGGCAATCGGGGTTCAAATCCTGGGCAGGGCACATGCCCGGGTTGTGGGCTTGATCAATGGCTCTCTCATCATTGATGTTTCTCCCTCTCTCTCTCTCTCTCTCTCTCTCCCTGTCTTTTCCTCTCTCTGAAATCATCAATAAAGATACATTAAAACAAAAACAAAATGATGACAGTCAAAGACAATGGGAAAATCTTAAAAATAACTAAGCAAAAAATGACTTGTTACTTATATAAGGAAACCCCAATAAGATTAACAGCTGACTTCTCAGCAGATAAAACAGAAGCCAAAGGAAGTGAGATAACATATTCAAAGTGTGTAAAGAAAAAAAACTGTCAACCAAGGAGCCTATATCCGTCAAGGTTATGTTTTAAAGAGTGAAGATAAAATACTTTCCCAGATAAACAAACACTAAGAGAACTTGTTGCTTTCAGACTCACCTTACAAGAAACACCAAAGGAAGTTCTTAAGGCTAAAAGGAAGTGACCCTCAGGGAGTACTGTGAATCCATACTCAAAACCAAAAAGCAACAGAAAAGGTAATTATGTAATTATAAAAGACAGTATAAATGAGTATTTTTTCTCCTTTATTTTCTTATCTTATTTAAAAATCAATTGCATCAAATAGTATGCATATAATATAGTATTCAGCCTATAACATACAGAAATGTATACACATAATATATTTGTTAATAACAGCACAAAGAAGGTATATGCAAGCACAGGTGTATTAGGCTGAAGAAATGACTGCAAATGATAAAGTAATTACATCATTATATTGTTGGACTTGTAATACTAAGAGATCTAATGTGTCCAATAATAATATCACAAAAGAGCGAAAGGGAATAAAGGTATATAGAAGTAACATTTCCACATATCACTGCAATTAACCCAGTATAAATCTGAAGCTGATTAGAGTAAGATGTGTATGGCAAGATGTATATGTACACGGAATTAAATAGTGGTAATGGCTGCACGTGTCTGTGAATATATTAAAAAGCATTGAATGGTACGCTTAAATGGGTGAATTATACGCTTTGTGAATTATATCTCAATAAAGCTATTTCAAAAAGAGATAATGTCTGAGATTTTCCCATAATTAAACACACAAATCTCCAGGTATCCTAAAAGGATAAATAAATTGCTAGATGTGATAAAGCCTCAGTGTATCAACAAAGAAAAACTCTCAAAAGCAATGAGACAAAGATTACCTACTATTCTGTGTTCTTTTAGGTAAAGGTTAGTTGTGGCCACAGGAGAGACTCAAGAAAACAAAGTTTATTATAGGTCCTAGAGAGACAGTCACCACATACCCAGAGGGTCACACTGGAGGAGCACCAAGGGCACGGTTCAACCAAGTGGGTGGGAGCTGAGAGAGAAACAGAAACAATGAGAGAGAGAGAGAGAGAGGGAGGGAGGGAGGGAGAGGGAGAGAGAGAAAGAGCAAGCACATGCAAGAGCATGTGCACATGCATGTACGAGAACCTGAAGCAAGTGCCTTTATCTGGGATCAGGGTGGAGTACACAACAATGGCAAAAGGGGATTTCAATGGAGCACTTGAATGTTACTAGGTCACAGTCAAGTGAAGGCAAGAAGGGGAACTTATGGCAAAAGCCAACCATATCACACTAGTACACATGGCCAGCCACTTGGGGGGAGTGCTCATAGCCTGTTTGTGGAGCAGGAAGGTATAAAGTTTTAAAATTTATAATACACCTACAAACCAAGGAAAGGCATATGAAAGTTCAGAGCAAGGAATAAACAGAAACAATAAAATATCTTCAAAATCTTGAGAAAAAGTAACTGTCAACAAACAAATCTATACCCAGCTAAACTAGCATTCAGGAAAAGAGGTAAAATATAGTTGATCATTAAACATCAAGGAGGTTAGGGGCACTGACTTGCTGCCCAGTAGAAAATCCATGTGTAGCTTAAGTTGGGCCTCCATATGTGTGGACTCCCAACTGTGGATGAAAACTATAGTCCATGTGTAAGTAGAACCATGAAGTCTAAACCCATGTTGTTCAAGGGTTAACTGTACAGGTTTTTCATACAGAGACAAAAGGGTATTGTACTAACTCATCTCAAGGAGCTCCTGAAGAATGCATTTGAGACATAAAACTGAACCCAAAAGGAAGAAGTGGGATACAAGAAGAATAAGCAAAAAACTGATAAACATGAGGGGAAATCTAAATAAATGACTTCATAAAACAAGTGATCCATTTGAGTGATGTGAAACAAAACAAAACTAAAATCCTGGACAACAATTATGTAAATCAGAATCTGGAGAACTATTGGAGCTAAAACAATTTAAGGTCCTGGTATTAATCAGAAGGAAGTCAGACACACTATCTTTA